GAGAATAGTGATTAAGCGGTTGGGATTCTGTTGGGCTGGAATCCCAGCTCTGCCCCTCATAACCCGTAGGATCATGGGCAAATTACTCCATTTCTCTGGGTTTCTGTGTTCCCCATCCGTAAAGTAAGGACAATAATTGTCCCAATTTCACAGGTTTTCAGGGGTTCGTAGGTAAAGATTTAAATGAATTAATGAAGGGCTTAGTGCATAATAAAATTTCAAAAATTGTTAGCCATTATTCATTTTTTAAACATGAAATCATGGAGACCTTTATGACTATGACTCCAAACTAAATGAAGCTGAAAGTATAAAGATACCAATTCCTCATTGACCAGGAAAGACCAAAACAAAGCTTCCTCATTTTTCTATAAAATTTTTTTTATCATTATATAACATTATGCCTTAATTTCCATGCAGTGTTGTGGGTAAGGCAAGAGAAAAAAAAGTGTACAAACATATATATTCTGGACTTATTGGAGGCTTAAAGGTAAAATTGTTTACTCCCCACTCACCACCACCCCAATGGCAGTTGTGACTGCAGATAGCAGCTTAATGGCAGCCCTTACACTGCAGTATCCCCCTGACCCTCAAAATAACCACTTGGCAGGTGGCAGATCAAACCCCACTAACTGGCACCACACAGGTGAGGGAATGAACACCCAATGCCACGTGACATGCCTATGTTCAGAATGCTAACAGGTAGGAGAGCAGAGAAGGGACCCAGACCACCTACTTCTGTGGCCACTGTGCCTGGTCTGTCTTCAGAAACAACACATTTCCTCTACTTTTGGGTGTTACTGATCTTCACACTTAACCTCCAGACACTGTACGTGTATGTGTCTAATTTATTCTCAGGTCTCAAGCACAGCCCTGTCTTTGCACTTCTGGGAGGGGGCTGCTGTGACTGCAGCAGTGGCTACACTCAAGTGTTCCAAGTTAGTCTAGCCCACGGATGTCTATCCCAGTCCCTTGAAATATTTTATAATATACTTGGACATAGACTCATGACATCCTGGGCTTAAAGGAAGACATTCTATATGGAAATTAGCTACAATAAAAGAAAAAGTAACAACAGAAAGCCAATTTAAAAAAAGAAATCCAAATCATCTGCTAAAGGCTTCCTGGCCTAACCACAGAGCCCTGGTCAGTCTTAGGGCCAGTTGCAGTTTGCTACTAAGACCTACTTACAGACTTTTAAGACAAGAGCTGCATCCCCGAGAACACTCACTGGGGAAGCAGGACAAAGAGTAAGTGCCACTTACTGGAGACCCTCTGGGCCCAGGTGCTCCTCTCTCCCCCTAAAAACAGAAAGGCCAGCATTAGCATTCTGGACCACATGGATGCCACCCCCACACTACCTAGACACCCTCACCCATCATCGTCTCCATGCATGGAAAAAAAAAAAAGTTTTTCTACAGGAAACTTTCAAATATACGATTGAAGCAGACTCTGGATCATTTATTTGAATAGAACTTCTTGGGTCAAGTATCACTCATGCCGATTTCCCCCAGAGCCATATATTTTCAAACCAGATCAAGAGGAACAACCGTAATTGGAAGCAGTGCCTGGAGCAGCAAACTCCAGTAATGCATGCCAGTTCTTTATGTGACAACTCAAAAGTGAAGCCACCCATCTACACAGAATGGAACTCCTTTGGTTGACTCAAACATCTAAAGAAATGGGGACCCACAAAAAACCATCCTACTTAACAATACTGGTTAATGAGAAAACATGTAATGCTCACAAACGAGGCTCACTGAAATACAGAGGTCATCTGTCTCAGGAGTGGTGGTGGTGGTTCTTGATTTTAGGGTTGGTTCTACATGTTAAGAAAACTGCTTCTGGGGCTCGGGATGTGGCTCAAAAGTGGTAGTGCGCTCGCCTGGCACGCGTGAGGCACTGGGTTCGATCCTCAGCAGCACATAAAAATAAAGATATTGTGTCTATCTAAAACTAAAAAATAAATATTGAAAAAAAAGAAAACTGCTTCTTATTTTTTTGTTCCTAGCATTGGGGGCAAAGTACAGATGGAGTTAGTTATCCCTTATCTGAAATGCTTGGGATCAGAAGATTTTCCCATTATGGAATTTTTCAGATCTTGGAATATTTGCACAGACTTTACTGGTTGGAACTTTCTTAATCTGAAAATCTAATACTAAAATCTAGGATTTGGGGAGCTTTCTGTCAGTGCTCACGAAGTTTCCGACTTTGCAGCGTTTTGGAATTGGGGTTTGGAACGCTCAACCTGTCCACCTGTGTGTCAACTTTGCCATCTCTCCGTGGGGTGGTAAGTGGCGCTGGTGGAGCTGTTCGATGCCTGTGGAGTAGGTGGGAACAGAGCTCCGGCTTGTCAGGACCACTCAGAAGACTTACCTTAGAACCGTCTCTTCCTGGTGCTCCCGGAGGACCCTAAGAAACACAGGATAAGGTTTAACAGGAGGAAAGAGTATGGGACACCTCTCCCTAGCGCTAAGTGGATCTCTGATAAGATACTGACCACAGGGCCCCTCCGGCCTTGCTTAATGTGGGACAGATCAGGAGACGGTCCCATGGGTCCCATTGAGCCCCGGGGGCCGGGCTGCCCAGGAGGGCCCGGCATACCTGGGAAGCCTGGGCTCCCCTTTGGTCCTGGTGAACCTGCAATCAAAGAACAGCTCATTAGTGCTCAGCCTCAGAGGACGACAAGGGGCTCTGGCTGCGGAGCGTGTCCAGGAGCCCAGGCTTCAGCCATTTCTCTTTGCCTTCTGACACGCCTGCCCATGAAGTTGTCCCCTGGGAATTTTAAACTTAACCTGATCAAAAGTGACTTCCCTACCTTCCTCTTTTATGGGCCACCAGTCACCCGTCCACTCATATCAGAAACCTGAGTGTCTTCCTAGAATAACCCCATTTCCACACCCTCCTTACCTGCTCCTACCCAATTTACCACTAACAGTCTGTGCTCCCAACCTGTCTATCATGTAGGGCAGTGGCTACCACCTCTGGACAGTCATTGCAAGCACAGGTTTTGCCATCAGAGAGCCCTATACTGAATCCTTAAGTTGCTGGAGCTCTTTGGAACTCAGTTTCTCATTTCTCAAGAAATCTTCCTCATAGAAATCTCATTTAACAAGATTTTAGATACATATATGCTACTATGCATCGTGTCTCATGCACAGTGAGTGTTAAAACTCATCTGTTGGGCCTTTGGCTTTTTATGTTCGTCTCAACTCTTGCCTCACAGCTAGGCTCCCTCTACTTTCCACCAGCCTTGTATGCTCTTCACCATTCTTTATGCTTCTGTACGCATTTTATTTCTAGACCCCTACTGTGCAACTTTCCCACTTTCAACCTTTTGGTGCAAAAGCCTCAAGCCTCTGAGGTGAGGCAGCCAACTTGCCCTCCTGTGGGCCCTGGACAGACATCCCCTGCTCCTGAGGGGTGGGAAGTGCTTTCCTGTGCAAGGTTTGCTCCCATACAAGGCACACTGGGGATGAGTGTGGCAAAGATTGTCTCACCTCTAGGCTCAGGTGCACAGGTCAGGGTTAGGATTACAGAGGGACCTGGAGATCTGAAGATGTTCTCTCCTCCCACAACTCTAGCATGGAAGGTACTGAGCCCAGAGGTCTCGCACTGAAGGGTGTCGAGAATGGGCAGGAGCTGCCGACGGGGGAGTACAAATAGCAACCTGCTGGCATCCTCAGCCCCCTCTAAGCATCAGGGAACAATATCCCACCATAGGAGGAACTGGACAGCTTGAATATGACAAAACACGGAGGATAACTCGAGTGACAACAAAACGAAAAATCAGCTCAATTGCTCCTTAGACTGATTCAACTCCCTACTGGCAACCAGTCAAAAGAGGGTGTCAGTCACAAGAAGTAATTACTATGTACAGGTCTCTACTTTTTTCTACTCTCTCCCCACAAACTATGTTCAGCCTTCAATCAATAATTGAGGCACATGTTTAAAAAGCAAAAGCAAAACAAGCACTGTCAATCAACAAAACAATTAGCAGAGCTAGACTCAGAGGTGATCCAGATGTTGGAATTATCAGGGACTTTAAAATAACAATGATTATCTGTTAAACAGGACAGTGGAGAAGATGGAAGTGAGAGAAAAAATGGTTAAATGGAAATAACACAATATTAGAGATAAAACTTTTTTTTGGATAGACTTAGCAGGCCAGTCATAGCTGAGAAAAGAACCAGGAAACTCGGTTATATCAACAGAAATTATCCAAAATGAAACAGAGGAAGCAAAAAGCAAAACAGAGCATCCTCAAACGGTAGAGCAAACAGGCTATGTGTCACTGATGCCCGAGAAGAAAACCCTACACCAATTCCCCTTGGTGTAAAATTCAAACTCATTATACCACTGACCTCCAAAAACATCACAAATACTCTTTCACTGTAAGAGAATTATCTGCTTGCCTCACCACACACTATTATACTTTTGGTGCAATGTGTGAATATGTAGTGTGTGTATATAATGTATGTGCACACACACTACCCATGTTTTTCTATGTGTTATTATGTCTAAACACTTATATTTAAAAATTTTGAGATTTCATATAAAACCACAAATTTCTGGCTTTAGTTTGAAAACAAGAACTAAAACCTGAACAACAATTCAGCCTTTGGCACAAGTGATTGGCACTTCATAAGGGGCCACCCCCTTACCACCAAAGCCAAAGGATTCTGACCCAGGGTGCTGCCCTGTGTTGGTGCTCCAGGAAATAGACTGGACTTTCACTTAGAGAAATCCTATTAGCTTCCCAGCTGCCCTAACACATCCCAATAAAGAGCATCACAAACACTGGAAGTAAGAGTGGGCCATTCCCCCTGAAAAAGCTCCATGCAGTTCTCCTGGTCTACTGCGAAAGCTCACTCATCCTCAATCACTCCATGCTCCATCAAGGACCCTGGACAGCTCAAAACATGTTGAAAACCAGATGGCAGAGCTGGAGAAGAGAGCTAGCAACTCATATATTAAGAAAACTGCCAGCCAATCTGTCCCTCATAGGGCTGTGTACACTGGCCTGGGATGACCTTCTTCCCGGGAAGCCAAGCAGGAGCATTCTCTAATAGAGGGATGGGAAACACTGCAAGGAATCTGTTTGTAAGGAGAAACAACCCCCCCCACCCCAGTCTGCTTAGGGCACAATAGACTGCTGTGTGAGGCATCTGGAGGAAACACTGTCGTGACCTGGAGAACCTCAGGCAAAGGGAATGAACAAGATGATAAACTGAAGTCCTGGGCCAGTTCTGCTCTGCACAGATGGAGGCCCAGAGCGCCTGATAGAAACCAGAAGACCAAGACCCAAGCAGAGAGAAAAATCCTTCTGGAATAACATGGAGCTGGTTCTTGCTGACTTTCCAACTTAAAACTTTCCCATGTTCCTTTGGCTTGGACAAATTCTGCCCATCTTCTGTGTGCAGGTCAAACCCCCAAGCCCCGATTGCTCTGGGCTATGGTAATCTCTCCTTTGAGCTTCCACGGCAGGAAGCACCATATTCTTATCTCTTGGCAAGTGGATACTCATTCAGTTTGCACCCACTGTGTGTGTCTTGTCCTTCTGATTAGGATGTCAGGAGGTCATTCCTAACACCAAGCACCCTATTAAGCAACGATGACCAGGGATATAATGGTTTAAATAATTTCCTAAGTGGCTGGGATTGTGGCTCAGCGGTAGAGCGCTCGCCTAGCACAAGTGGGACCTTGGTTCGATCCTTAGCACCACATAAAAATAAAGGCATTGTATTGTGTCCATCTACACCTAATAAATAAACATTAAAAAAATGACTTCCTAATACAAAATTTCCTTTACTGCTAAGGAAAAAAAACCTATTGATCTCTGGATGGCCTCATAAAATATCACACACACTATTTTGAAGTTTTCATTGTGTGGTTCCTGATGCAATGAGAGGACATTCTGGATTTTCATTGAATTAATAAAGGCAAACCTCCAAAACTATATGCTGAGTGAAAGCAGCCAGAAAAAAAGAACATAAGCTCCAGGACTCTCCTGACATGCAGTCCCACAACAGGCCAACTGCACTGGAGGAAAGCAGGTCAGTGGATACCCTGATCTGGAGAGTGTACTGACTGCAAGTGGCCTCAAGGGATCTTTCTGGAATGACAGGGCCTTGGTACAAGGGTGCAACCAAGTTTTGCAAAGCTCACCCAGTTATAACTTGAGTGCATTTTATTTATTGAATATATCAACGTCCACTTCCAAGGAGAAATAGATGTAATAGTGAACTTAGATGTAAATGTATTAAGTAATACAGGAAGGTGAAAGAACTAAGGGATAGAAGAAACGAAGCTGGCCACAGTGATTAGACCTTTCTATTCTTGCATATGTTAAATTTTCTCCCTTAATAAAGTTCAAGTTTTTTCCTCAGTTGTTTCTAAGATGATCTTGAGGCATCTTAACTAATCTCAAGACAATCACCCTTCCTTCCCAAACGACTATCAGTTCTAAGGGTTTCTCAGGCTGACGGGCCATCTCCTGATGCCCCCTTCGCACAGGCTAGTGGCAGTTCCCTGGACACAATTCTGCTTCCCAGTGACCCATGAGCTAAGTGAGCTCTTGGGAGGCCTTGGGAGGCCTCTGCTGGCCACTCCACCAGCCTCCTGGGCCCTTCTCCACACTCACCGGGAGGGCCCTGGCCTCCAGGCAGGCCAGGTGGTCCTGGAAGGTAGGCGTTAGAGGCCAGCACTTTGTCACCAGTGATATATTTGCCCAGCTCAGCGGCACTGTTAGGGAGCAGTGCAATCTGCAAAGGGAAGAGGAAACCCAGGTCAGAAAACGGCAGCCCCACTGAGACAGACTCCCAGCTCTTGGATTGTGTGCAGAGGCCGTGAGGCCTTACCTGGATTGTTATCTAGTTCAAACTCATAGGGACTGAAGAATTCCTTCTCAGCCTAGGGGCCTTCCAACGTGAACAGCTTGCATGGGCTCCCTCAGCTAGTCAGTGGTGAACCCAGATAGACGCCTGATTGCGTAGATGTGATGAGTGCCCATCATCCCCCTCAATGACCAGAGCCTTCATGGTTCATACTTCCAATTTGTTAATTTATTTCAAACTTTTGTTAGTGGGCTCAAACTTTTATTGATCTCCTATGTGCCAGGCTCCACGCTTAGTTCATAGGTTCCAAAGGTCTGTGTCCCTAAAGAATACTCAGCACTGGGAGCCAGGACCGAGAATGTGCCTGATGGTTCACCCACACACTCAGGGCTGACCTTCAGCACATGTGGGAAGTGGTGACTGATTTCAAAGGTGGAGACTAACCCCCCACCCCTTTGACCATGCCTGTTCTTGGTAACCTTTCACTGAAGAGTGACAGAAGCACAGCATTTGGATTCTCAGCCTGGGACCCAAGGACCTAACATCCATCTTGCTGCTTGCCGTCTTTGATGATTCTGTCTGGGAAAGGCCAGAGGACTGCATGAATGAACGATCTTGAGGTCGGGCCCACTGTGGATCCATGAAAACTTTGCTGAAAACAAAGGCTACAGATTCAATGTCTTCTCTGGCAAATGGAACAGGGGACAGAGCTCCACCTCTAGGGCTGATAAGTCAGGAAGTGGATGTCGGGAGCACAGTGCTTGGTAAGTGGGGGTCCTAGTCTCATCCTCCAAGAAGCTAATCCAGAGAGGCAAGATCCAGTGGAGAACACTTCTCTGTATCCCAGAGTTCTGTAGAAAGGGGGCATTTCCACCATTTTCCAAAGCATCTTGCTTTTTCATCCATCCTCCAAGACAAGGCCCTGCTTGAAGACCCTCTGTTCAGAGGGAAATGCAGGTTCACGTATGCACACAACTGATCCCATCCGTAGCCTCTGATGTGCTCTGAGGCTCTGAACCCATCTTTGGGTGATATTTCGAGGGGTACCTGATCCCAGTGCATGATTGGGGTGGCCGACTGCCACTGTGAAAACATGTCCAGTGGGGATCAACACCAGCGCAGAGCACTAAGTTAAAAGTTGTGCCAGGTTCTCCTTCTGGAACGTACGTCAACTCTGCAGTATGACCTTGGGACGAAGAAACTTAAATGCTGATTGAACTACAGAGGCTCGTCACTTCTCCCTTCCTCAGAGATTTCCTCCTCCTCCTCCCAAGATACTGCAGACCCCAAGTCAAGTTCAGGTGCAGCCCAGGAAGCTCTCACCTGGCTTCAGAAAGACTTCAGTCTGGTTTCTGAGCAGGGAGATTTGGCCCCAGTGTCCACCATGCTCCCATTATGAAGCCCAGTTCTGAAGAACTTGTGGGGCCACAATCTCATTCTCCTGCTGGGTTTGGGGCCCTGAAACAGCCTTAGAGCTGATGATGATTCTTAGTCACAGACAGGTATTCTTGCCCATGGAAGAAATCTGACATCCTACAACGAAGGCAGCATTATGTCACGTGGTTTGCACCTTGGCATAACCTTTACCTGACACATCAAGGAAAATGAGTTCCTCCAGCCCCTTCGTAAGGTGACTGCCCTTGTCTCACAAACCTCCATTATCCCTGTGACAAAGCACTTGAGATTTTGTTTACAAGACGAGGCCATGGGAAAGCTCAACAGGATATCTTGGTGACATCCCTACTAATGGCGAGGAGGAGGAAGAGAGCCACAAGGCAAATAGGGTAGTTCCTGCCCCATCTTCCTCACACCCCCACAAAGCCGGTGCCAGGCTCTCCTGGAGTCAACAGGGCCCATCCCCACTCCGGCCTCCCCAGCTGTCCTATTTAAGGCAGGACTGGTCCTGCACTTCAAGAGGACTGAAGTTAGCTCAAGTACAAGGGTGCTCTGGGGACAGGGAACTCAAAGTCATCAAAATTGTCTTCCATGGGCTCCTTGATATCCTTAGGGCTCCCGAGCACACACTCCTAGGGAGTTAGGAGCCTGTCCTTGGGCATGGACAGCTACATAAGTCTGCGAGCTAAGAGACTCTGGACTACCTACCCACCGCCTTCCACGTTTTGAAAAGACCTAGTGTTCCCTTGCAATACGTAAGGAAGGGCACTCAGCTGAGATGTCTCCCATTCAATTCCCCTATGATCATTATTCAGAATCCAGTGGAAGTAACTGTAGGAATCAATCTTGTACAACCTGAAAGTCATCTTCATAAAATTTCAGGCCAGGGCTCGTGGTTCAGAGTTCCCGCTAGGACATGCCTGTGATCTGGGGTTTATTTAAAACAGTGCCGGTGTCATGGTATCTCAGCAACAGTCAGCTCCAACCTGCAAATGGGTGTTCCTGGCCCTGGAGTGAACCGACAAGCAAGGGATCCCAAGTCTCCAACTGCAGGATGGGGGGCCCCACACGGATACTGAATGCAGGTCCAATTTTGTTATCCGCTTCCAACTAAGACACTGAAATGTCAATTCCGGCAGCGGCCTCTGGCACTAGGCAGAGGCAGGGCTGAGATTACAATATGAGTCTATCTGTAGGTTTTGGGATAAGCCACAGAACTTCGATTTCCTCACCATCAAAAAGGGGGTTGTCACATCCACCTACAAGGGTACCCCAGGGTTAAGCTGCTGATGCCTTTAACGTGTCTGGGCCCCTGTCTGGTCACTGTCATTAACAAAATGGAAATGCTCTGCCTGGACTTGCTCCTGGGTGTTTCCAAGTAGCTGAGTGACTTTAGATAATTTTTTTAACCCTTCTAGGCTTTTCTCTCGTCTACAAAACTAGAGCTTTGAACCAGATAATCACGTCTTCCTACTAAAAATTTTGTAAGCAGGCTGGGGATGAGACTTGGGAGCTGCTCCGCAGCACCCCTCTCAGGAGGCTTTGCACTTTGTTATGGTGACTGGAGGTGAGCGAGGAAAGGTTGACCCCACAGCCTGGCTGAGCCTGCTGGGCAATCGCATTCCAGTTCCCTTCAGTTCCTCTGTGCATCAGCAAGACCAGTGGGAGGTGCAGGTTCTGGTGTTAGAGGCAACTATCTGTACAAACTCAGCAGATGGGCTTGCCGGACCAGGTTGTTCAGAAAGAATTATGTAGCAATGCAAGCAGAGTCTCCGTTCCCCTGGATTCCAATCAGTAAAACTATCATCTTATATTAGCTTCATAACAGGATCTACCTTGCCAAGCTGTTGGTCACAACTTGGTGAGATGCTGCCTATAAAGTGGTCTTTTTTTTTGGGGGGGGGAGTGGTTACCAGGGATTGAACTCAGTGGCACTTGACCACTGAGCCACGTCCCCAGCCCTATTTTTTAAAAATTTTTTTAAATTTAGAGATAGGGTCTGAGTTGCTTAGCACCTCACTTTGCTGAGGCTGGCTTTGAACTCACGATCCTCCTGCTTCAGCCTCCTGAGCTGCAGGGATTACAGGCGTGCACCACCACGCCCGGTTTGCCTGTAAAGTTCTAAGGAATGCCAATGTTAGTTATTTGGTACACATTTACAGGGCTATTTCTAGGTGGTAGGCACTAAGTCCTTTGTAAATATTAACTCATTTGATCACAAAAATCCTATGTAGCAGGTGTGACTTATCCCCTTTTTATAGCGCTCAGGCACAGAGAGGTTAAGTAGCTAACTCAGGGTCTCACAGTTATCAAGTGATGGGGAAGGAAAGACAGCCATTCGCCTCCCAGAATCTGTGTTCCTACCATTGTCCCCAATAGCCTCTTAGCTACTATGATATTTGGCCAAGAAATCTAGCCACATTAATATATTTGGCCAAGGAATCTAGCCACTTTAATGTATTTGGCCAAGAAATCTAGCCACGTTAATATTGGGATCAGTCTTCCCACCAATCCTAATGTTTATTCTATGGAATAAATAGATCGAGGTGGCAAGGAAGCTGCAAATGCACCGGACATCAGAGGCAGCACCAGACGGAGCAGGCAGAGCAGCCTATTCATGTTTGCTGGCTTTTGAAACCTCAGGACCTGCGACTCCGCGAGCTTGACCATTCAGCCCACTGCCTTTGGCCATTACTGGTCGACTTACATTGTGGGCCCGTTTGTGCCATTGGACAGTATGTTTATTTAAGGCAGGACTTCATTCCATACCGTTTCATGTTCCTCATTTTCCAGACCACTGTGGGGCAGGCACAGGAGGTGCTCCATCAACACCTCCAGAATCATGATCAACTATCCCCTTAATGGCTCCCCAGAGGAAAGGTCATTAGTTTAAAGAGATCCCTGGCTTCCCAGTGGCCACCATGGAACCAGCAGGGTCCAGACTGGCCCCCCATTCTCGGGTCTCCTTCCCCTGGGACTCCGTAGCCATCCCCATCTCCAACTGTCCCTGCAGCTGGGATACAAATAGCTTTAAAAAAAAAAAAACACAAAACCCAGACCCCAGGCTGGTTGGCTCTAGTTTTTCACAGTGCTGGAGCAGAACCGAAACCGATCCAGAAGTTCAATAACAGATATTTCATCTGTTCCCCTAAATCCCTTTTCTCACCAAATCACCTGTTTCCTTCCCATACCACAGGGGGGAAAAATATGAAAGGGTAGAGGCACTGGGGTCTGCATCGCATTAACAAAAACAAACTTCGTTGGAAAATAAGACCATCAAGAAACCTCAAAAACCAGATACATATCCTAGTACATGACTGGAGAGCAAGCAGCCTTTCAAACACACTTAAGTCAAGCGCACCACTTTTCTCCCACACCAAACCTCACTTTAATATTACTTCCTGTGTTTTAGAAAATGATCTATCATCCACGCCTAGTGGCTATGGTTTAGCCCTTCGCCTTTAGAAAACGGCAGGCCTTTTAAGTCCCTTGTGTTCTGTAGGTAGATTGCCACCTCCCCTGTCCTTTACAATTTATTGTTGAAGGCCCCAGGGCATTTGACCTGCAGCATCCCACACGTGGAATTGGGCTGACTGCACACACAGTGGTGCAATTCAACAGTGCCGTCACTTTATACGGTGGGGCTGGCCACAGACCAGGACACCTGGTACCACTTCTTGGCCAATGTTTATTTGGGCAGTTGTCCCAATTTCTTTTGTGAACAAAAAACGATGGCATTTACGGCAGCCAGCTGATATGAAAAAAATCAACTGATGGTACGAACACCAGCACAGGAATAGAAGTGAGAAGACCTAGGTGTGAGGTTTGGCCTCTCGGGCACTTACTTTACCCCCGAGAATGCAAGTACCTTTCTCACAGGGTTACAGAAATAATGACATGAGATTCTGGATGTACAACTGCTTTATAAACTATATGATGTAACACATTCTAATAGATACCTTAAAAACGAATTGCTCCTCATAATGTTCCTCAAGGGTCTGCATCCAGTTTCTCAGAACTGTCACCATGCATATGTAGGGAGACTTTGGAGGAGGAAGGCCTCTTGCCAGCCAGCCCACCCAACCACATGGGTGTTCTGCAGGATCAGACAGCCTAGAGGATTTTCCACAGCATGCAGCAGGGTCTTTGGGGGTGACAGGTATCATGATACACATTTTCAATTTTTTTTTTTAACAGCTCTTCTTTCATTGGTTACAATACACTGTAAGGAGGTGAAAGGAAAGCCAAACTTTGCCCCTGAATTTCTGAATATTGATGTTTAACTCTGCTGTTCTATTGGGAAGAACTGCCCTACAGCCCATGGATTATTTCCAGGGAAGGAAAGTGAAGGTGGCTTTGTGCCTTGCAAGGTAAGCCTGGGACACTGATAACAGCCTCCTCCTCCAGCCTACAAAATGCGACTGTAACTATTCCACACACTCTTTTAAGTCCCCTTGATGAATACCAGTGTCAATGCAAACTCCACCCAGGGATCTCTGTGGCATTTAGTTATTCACCTGTGTCTACAATGGAACACGCACAAGGTGAGCTGCCTGATCTCCCTATCAGATCACAAGCTACTCGGGGTCGGAGCTATGTTTTGCTCATGATTATACAACAAATATATATGAGTACCTTTGCTAAGGTCAACGACGTCTTCAGCAACAATGTGTAAGAGACTGTAAAGCGACTTAGTCTGTTGATTTGCTTGTTTAACTGGTAGCTGTGGTTCTCATTAGTGGCTGGTTGCAAGTTTGTGGAACACAGAAAAAAGATTTTCTCGTGATTGCCCTTTTGCCCTTTAGAAGAAGTGGCTGCCAAAGTTAAATAGATTATACACACCTCTTTGATCTACTAAGAGCCTTGAGTGGAAGCAATTAAATAAACAGAACAGTTTATGTTTTAGCAGCTTAAAAGCAATTTGAGTTGCTGACACTAGCACACTGATCTCAGGTATAATTAGCATTCCCTGGGTCAGGACAGGTGTGCAAGATGTCAAATCACCAGATCTGCCATGGGGACCCTACTCATAGCGTGACACTGCTGGAGACCTGGTATCCTGTCCAGCATTCAGGGAGCCCTTCATAAAGTCAGTCTTCATGCCTGGTGACACGAGGTCCCAAAGGCCTGCTTCCCTAGGTGCAAAGAGCTGGATGAAGGGCAGGTCAAACTTTTTCAAAAGTGAAAGACCACTGCAGAAGGCTGTCAGTTGACAGAACTTTAGAGAAATAATATTTCCTATTGCTGAAGCACACATAAGATACAATGACCCAGGGCTACCCCAGGCCATGTCCGGACATTCCTTTTTAGGAGAAAGTGCTACAGCTTTGCCATGCCCACGGACCTTGTGTCCAATCACCTCCTTGATTCTTTGCCTCGTGTTGCATTGTTCCCTGGGTGGCTTCAGTGGGACCATTCCGAGTCCACAGCCAGCTGGCGTCAACCACAGAGAACGGGCAGCGCGCGTGATCTGCCTTCTCATTGACCCCAGGCCCCCCACACCAGCCCTCCTCTCCCCCGCAAGACGGCCCCCGCCTGCCCTCGTACCTTTTGCTTCAGTTGCAGCACCGTCTGCTTCATCTGGTGGAACTCCTTGCACGAGGCGCAGCAAGTTTCGGCTTTCACCGCATTCTCAGACTTCTCCTCGTGCCCTGGGAAAGAGGATGGGCTCAGTTCCATACGGAAGGTCAGGAGACCCAAGGTGCAGGGCAACTGCTGCAGGAAGGCAGTCCCCGGTTGGGCAGGCGGTGGGGGGAGGTCACAGAGCAGCCTACGGCGGACATGTGAAGGGTAAATGCCGACAATTATACAGTTCTCAGGTCCCTGCCATCCAGGTTGAAGACAGGAAGCGGTGACAGAGCCGTGCTGCCCTTGGGCTCAACTCTTCCTAGTCAGGCATCCGAAATATGCGGAGAAGTGCACTGTGGCCCTTTGATTATCTACACCTTTCATGTTTGAAATGGCACTTTATCAGTGCCTTTCCTGGGGGCGGGTTCTGTAAATTTGACCTGATTGACAACGTCCACAGAGGGCCAGTGTTCACAGGCTGCCGATATCCCCCAGCTCAGGCCAGGGGACTCCAAGCTGGCATTCATCACCCCAGGCCACCTGGGTCTTCAGAGAAGCTCCGCAGGCCAAGTGGGGCCTCACAAGTAGAGACCGGCAAGAGAACTCTGCTGAAGAGAGGAGTCAGCCTAGCACCGCCAGAATGTGGACCCGACTGTGCCGGTTCCAGTGGAGTGGATGATCGGAGTGGGAGAGACGGAGGTCACTCAAGCAGCCTTTGGTATCAACAAGCCTAACGGACCCGGAGCCTGGATCATCTCTTCATGCAGAACTCCACCAGCCTCCACAACCAAAGGTGACTAAGGCTTCAGGGCTTACACAAGGACACAATTTATACAATCCCATCCATCTGTCTTACCTTCCCTCTACCTATCCTCATCCATCCATCCTTCAGCCATTTATCTGTCCATCCAGCTGCCATTCATTCTACCTCCCTTTCCTCCCATCCTTCTGTGGAGCATCTGCTATTAGGCCCTGAATGGGGTGATACAAATGCGAAGTAGACGAAGACACCTGTTCAACGACTTATGATTGAAGCCAGCCCTGTTGGCAGAGCTGGGCCGGCAAGAACAAATTAGAAGTCTTTCTGCTTCTATTTTCACATGCCCAGTTGAGTTTTCTGAGTGTAATTGGGCAACTAGACAACTTCAAGATGAACTAAAGATAAACTAAAGAGGTTTATCCTAATAAGGAAAATAAGACTCAAAGAAGAAAATTAGTGCTGTCTACAGTAACCTGGCACTTACAGGGGTCCAACTGGCCCTTGGGAGGGGGAGGCAGGCGTGAAGCAAGACTGCTACTAGCAGTTCCACTGAAAACACTTGGGAGCTATCTGCCAGGCAGGTTCCACGGAGGAAGCTCTGCTGGGCAATCTTTTACCACGGAGAGGCCTGGACCGTTTTCTGTTCCTTTGTAGAATCACCAGAAGACAGAGAATCAAGATTAACATTTATCCAAAAGACTCAAAGCTCCTATTGACTTTGAAGCACAGGGGCGAGTGGTGTAGGGGCTGGCCAACTTGGACAAGATTAAAATCTTAGTGCTGTAACTGAGTACCTTTTAGGTAAGTCAGCGTCTCTGGACTCTGTTCCCTGAACGGTAGAATGGCAATAGCACCTGTCGTCCGGGGCCGACATGAGAAGTCGATGAGATGGGACATGCAGGAAACAGAACACTGCCTTGCCCACAGCAGGTGCCCTAAATGTATCCTTGCTGTTGATTTTATTGTTTCCCTATCAAGTTAGAGAACATGTGGTAGGGTCCTTGAGAGCCTGTGATATCCTCTTCCTGTATGTTTTCAGCCCTCTCAGTGATGTAGTCGTGCGTCTCAGAGAAAGGGCTTCTGCCATTAAATTTTGCTCCAAGCTCTTCGTATTTTAAAGGAGCAATATAATGGATCAACCACACGGGGGCGCAGAGCTCTAAATTTTACCCTCATTGAGCAGGTTGTACACCCTAAGTATTAGAAATATAATGCCTCACAAATGATGATAGTAGCAATACCCAATCGTACCTCGGAGAGCCAAAGAATATTCCCAGAATCTTCCAAGTGGGCAGTGCCACAAGTGAACAAAGCACGTTCGTTTTTAAGTTGTGCCCCTTTGTGTTCCGGTGGTAGTGCCCAGCTCTGGCAGTACATTACAGTCACCTGGGTGTGGGGTGAAAAAATAATCCTGCAGAATCTGGGCACCCCAACCACCTGGAGTGGTAGCAAAACAACAGTATCAGTGTTTTAATGCTCCCCAGGTGATTCCAAGGCCGAGAACCACTCATCTATGGATTAGCAGAGCTTGAAAGTTACACGAAACACCTGGCTGTCTCTGACACTTTGAACTTTAATAAGTGACGAAGAAGGTCATGGTTATGTTATCAGAAAATAAACAAAAGCTGAAAAATAAAGACCAGTAACCTAATTACTACGGAGCCAACATTTCCTTAATTTGTCTCCCCAAATGGTGCTACACTGACTCCCTGGGGTGACCAAACTGGCTCCAGCTCAGTATTTTCAAAGAGAAAAATCAAAGTGATTGAATGCCTGTCAGCCAGATGGCTTGTGTCACCAAGCCTGTGACAACCTTTCAATCATCAGAGGCCATTTGAGGGCCATGTTCCCTTCTACTTTCTGCCTGTTTGATTTTAAATTCTTGACTAACATTACAGACACTGGACAACAAAGTTAAAACAGGAGGAAGGAGAGGCGACTTTAGACCCCATGTGTTTAAACACAACATTCTCTTTATCAAAAAAGGTGACGAAATGCCGGGGCTTATTAGTCCAGAGCAGATGAAACTGCTTAGCTGCCTCTGCTCTTCTAGGAGGTACGGCTCTTTGGACCCGTAACATTTCTTACTGCCGAGATGAATGTTTGCATGTTCAGTTCCTCATCTTTTTAAAAATATTTTTAAGTCGTACATGGACACAATACCTTTATCTATCTTTATGTGGTGCTGAGGATCGAAACCAGTGTCTCGCCCATGCTAGGCGAGTGCTCTACCACTGAGCCACAACCCCAGCCCACAGCTGCTCATCTTCTAAGACACTGAAAGGAAAGTTCTCTGCTTAAAAGGCACATGAAGGTGGGCAGGTTTTCAAGCATCAGTACTTGTTCAGAGGACCAAGGAATGAAGACTGTCAGGGACTCCCCGAGTTGGTAGGAGCTACTACTACTTACACCACATGACATCCAGTTTTGAAGATTTAGAGGGTGAAAGGTCCTCAGGACTCACGGAATTCAACACCCCCATCTACAGATGAGCAAACCAAGGCTCCAAGACTACCAGCCTCATGCAGCTAGTTAAAGCGGAACCAGCCCTGTTACTCTCTCCCCTAACTTCCACGTCAAGGAACGTCCCCCGGCACCACAGCTGTCAAATGTGATGACTTTTGGGCACTTTTCCTTCCTTCTGCGGGAACCCACTAGTGCCAGCCCTAGGTCCTCACTGGCCCAACCACTTGAGTCAGGACTGGAACATTCAGGGCACACAACGTACCTGTTGTCCTTGGTTATTACTTAACTACATAGGAATGACTCCTCAGTCCCCACCCCAAAGACTCCTGGCCACTGGTGTTGGAATGTTTCTTAGCACGATATAAGACTGTACGCTAGTTTTCTATATGTCTGGGGTGAGCTCGGTGGGGATTAGTTACTGCAAATTGAATACTGAGATTGCTTCGTAAGGCTGCTGCTGGGGAAGTGTGGTGCAGCAGATGGTGGCATCCTAACAGGGGCTTTTGTTTTTGTTCTAATTATTTGAAGTTGCTGTATTTGGATGAGGAGTCGGGGGAAGAGAAGGGGAAGAGTCCCTGCTCTAATCTGATAAGCTCTGTGTTAAAATAAGGTCCAACGACTGAACCACCAGACAGTTCTTACAAGGTTAAGCATGAGAACATTTTCCATTTACAGCACTGGAAGAGGAACCCAGTGTCTCTCCACTTGGTGGCATGAAGCAGCACTGTGCTGTTCTCACTGATGCTGGACACTCCACAATAAATCACTCCCCCCCCCCCCGAACTTGGGCTGCTGCATGTGTTGGTAACCCCCACCCTTGGCCGAGAGTCCACCAGATGGCCTATCAAGTTTGGCCCCATTGCCAAGATTTCTGACATTAAATGTTTCCCAAACCATGTTTCTTAGGATATCACTACCTGTGAGACAGTAAGATTTCTTAATTCTGCAAAATGTAGTTTTAATCGAAATTAACTTTGAATTGTAAGTGGATGCAGTAGTACATGCTTTCCCAAACATCTGAGCATAAGACCTGAAGAAAGGCTTCACACCACCACAAAGGACCCCCAAGTCTGAACACAATATGGGGGAATGCTGCAACATATTATTGAGATAAAATACATCTTTAAAAACCAAGGAAGATGGGAAAAAGTTGCAAATGTGTTTCTTTTTTTGGAGCGCAGGCACTGGGGATTGAATTCAGGGGCACTCGACCACTGAGCCACCTCCCCAGCCCTATTTTGTATTTTATTTAGAGACAGGGTCTCACCGAGTTGCTTAGCACCTCACTGTTGCCGAGGCTGGCTTTGAACTTGTGATCCTCCTGCCTCAGCCTCCCAGGCTGCTGGCATTACAGGCATGTGTCACCGTGCTGGCTAAATACTGCGACTCAGACTTTTCACTCAATTCGGTCATGGAAGTCTAACTGGTTGTCACCCAAATAAAACTGACTTCTTGAATTTTGAAACTCTTATTTGCAAACGTTTATAAGAAGATCACCACCCTTGTCAGGGAATCAACCAGGTTAGAGAAGCCCCAGTAGTGACTTAATACAGTATTGACTAATTTCAAAGATGTCATGAGATGGCCCCACCCTTGCTGAAGGTGGGGACCCAGGTGAGCACCTCTCACCAAGGCTGACCTTGTCACTGCACTCTGACCCAGAGCCATCCCTTTGGACTGAAGGGCAATGTAGCTGCAGGAGGTGAGAAGTTACTGCAGGAGGTCGACGTCACCCAAGACCAAAAGCAATTCAACTCGGCTTATGAAATATTACCTGTTGTCTAACTCCCACCTGGACTCTGGTCCCAGCTAATTGTGGTCCATCTACTGCCAACCACTCCACCCCACCAGACTGGGACTCCTCATAGAGGGCAGATCCTATTACTTTTTCAGCCAGATCATGGACTCTTGTCCTGACTCTCGGCAGCAAGTGTCTGTTGTTCTGTGCCTGGTCGGGTTGCTGCAGGCTTCCTTCATGCCCCTATAAAGCGGATTCTTTCTACATAGAAATGTGAGGCAGAGACAATACACTTGCCAGGTTGAGCAGCCTGCAGCCCAACAGCTCAAGAGAGCACAGCTGGAAACCCAATTCTTAAATGAAAAATTGCAAAGCTGCTTTCTTGTGACCTATTCTCTACAAGGTCCCCACATGACAGTGGAATAAAAAGCTGCACCCCATTTTCCCATGAGATTCTTCCCAATAAAGGACATAATTTATAGTCAAGTCACACATCCCTGCTCCTCCTACCACAAATTGCAGCGATTTTAATTTTGAATACAAGAACAGTCTCTAAATGTTTTTTAACTTCATTAACCTGTCTGCCCTTGCTTGAGGGCCATGCTCATTTACATGATTCCCAATTGCCCAGAGCCAAGGTGGCTCCAAATAGCTTTTCTCATCGGTTTCCAACACATGGCGGCTTCCTCGTGACTCAACCCAGTTGCTCCTCTGCATTTCATTTCCCCCTCTAGGTTTTCCTCGGGAGGCAGCTGGTCCCCAGCTGTCCGTCTTCCCACCCCTTTCTGAAGCTGGGCTCTCATGAGCACCCGGATGGTTGTGGCTTTTTGATGTCCCTCATTTCTTCATCCACGAGACTTGCCCAGGGCACCTGTGCCCCTCCCAGGGATGGCCCAGGCCCAGCTAACCCCCTCACAGCACTGTAGCAACTTTTTCTTTCCCAGGGAAGTAGATAGGAGCCGAGCCCTGAGCCCAGGGAGATTGAGTGACCGAGGACTTTCTCCACAGGGAAGCTGTCCAGTCAACCATGGTCAGTGGAGTACAATTTGCTTTAAAGTTCATCCTGATTGGAAGGCCCGGGACATTCCTCCATACAGGCTGAAATCCTAAACTCTCATGACGGGCACTTGTAATTTGGCAGAGACCCCAGAGTTCAGATGTGAACGTGGTGATGATATTTTGCCCCCCAAGGCATTCCCTGAAGCTCCCACAGCAGCTTCGGGGCTTTTTTTCCTTCTCTTATTTTTTCCTCCAAATTTAAATAAAGATGTAACCCAACAGACCAGGCTGATCTTATGCCTAGGTGATGAGACATCTCAGTTGAGGTACCTATACTGTCATACAAAACGTGTACAATGTAGTCGGTACTATGTAGCTGTATGTAAATCAGCTTCTTAACTGTGTTGGACAACCAGCTGTAAGATCTTTTCTGATTGTGAACTGATAATTTTGCAAAATGAATTGCTTGAAATTGGATCTAGGACTGGGGTTGTGGTTCAGTGGTAGAGCACTTTGCCTAGGACGTGTGAGGCGCTGGGTTCGATCATCAGCACTACATAAAAATAAAGGTATTGTGTCCACCTACAACCAAAAATATTTTTAAAAATCAGCTATAATGTAACAAAAACAAATGCTTGGATTTAAATGAAATTCCTTTCCAATAAATAAAGTTTTCTAAACACTCAATTTCTATTTCTATCCAATCATGACTCATAGAACAAATAGTTTGTGGAGAGGACAAAGCATGGACCATGCTTTGAGTAACACTGGTGTGGAGTGGTACCTCATGTGAAAGCGATTTATTTGTCTTTATATTTCAGTCTGTTTCCTTGGGGAGAATTCAGACCTTCTGGTCTCGTCTCTGCTCATTCTTGTTCACTCTTACTACAAAAATCAAGCGCTACTGATTTCTTGAGTGCACCACCCTCCTCCAACACACCAGCTACCCCCTCCATGCGAATGGGCATCACTGTCCCCTTAATTCCTCCTCTCTAGGAGGAGTCTGAACATACGTCCTCCGACCCCAGGTGCCACCTGAGGTCCATGTAAATGCCCCTTCCTGCCCTGTTCCTAGGAACCTGGTTGGGCTCCCAAGTGCCTGTGTATAATTGTCACACATGATACGTATTAAAAGCATATTAAATAGATTATGTTACAGCTCACTATGTACAACATGAAAATACTACATATTACCTAAATACAACTATATAATATTGACTATGTTGTACATGTTTTGTATGATATTAATATTGACTATGTTGTACATGTTTTGTATGATATTAATATTGACTATGTTGTACATGTTTTGTATGATATAGGTACTTGAGAATCTTATATAAATGAGATATCTGTGGCTACAGTAGCACCTGTAACATTATATAATGTAATATGCATTATTTATATAATATAAAGGAAAATAGACAAATAAAAAGATAAAAGATCCACTGGCTGGAGACACTGGGTAGCAGTGGGTGGGAACATGTGACACACGTGTAATAGGCAATATGTTTAAAATGTAAACATTACACAAATAATACAATAATCATCTGACAACATGTGATATAAAAATGTGCACAGAGGGCAACTCCATGCCTCACTCACCAGTGTCGTTGGGGTACTTGTCCCCCCTGGTGCATGTCCTCCCGTCGTCCTCAAGGACATAGCCCTCCCGGCACTCACAGCGGTAGCTGCCCACGGTGTTGACACAGATGTGCTCACACAGAGTCTTGTTGCTGGTGGCACACTCGTCGATGTCTGGTGTAAACCAAATGCAGAAAACGCTCAGTTTCTGAGAAGTCACTTATGCCACAGATGGCACGAGACTTGTCCCTCATAATACCGTTGCCAAGAACACTATTCCAGACCTTGACGGGACAGAGCCTGGCATGAGGTTGGGCGCTGGGAGGATGGGCCATCTGTGGAAGCAGCACTTTGGCCATGTGACTGTCATTACAGACCAACCAATGATGGGTTCCTGGCTGTCATAGGGCCCGATGGAGTTACAGCTGGCCTTTAGAGAGTTCACCTGGGAAACGATGAGAATGAAGCCTGTCCCTAAATACTTCCCAGGGCTCCTCAGGGGAGCCCTGGGGCCAACACACCCTGATGAGCAGACATTAGCCAAGTGATTTTTTGCAAGCAGCCTAGTGTGCCGAGGTCTTTAACGTTCTCCTTTATGGCTGGAATTCTATATGTGACACAAGGGCCACTTAGGAATAGCCCCTTCCCAGTTAAGGGACACAATATACTTGGGAAAAGATACTTATGAAAAAATAGTCACAGATGTCTAACGGGGAGAGGCTTCCCTAGGAAATCTCTGCCTCATCAGTGACCCAAGCAGACCCCCATGAGCTGCGGAAATGAGGCATGAGACCATCAAATGAGTAACCCCGGAGGGTCCGCGTCAACGGCCCACACCATGGGCTTGCGCCCCTGCTGCACTGGGAAGAAACAACACGTTTCCCACCATGAGCAGACGGGCTCAATTCCATTTCCTGTTCACTGGCTAAAGACACCCAGTAGCAGTGGGTGGGAACCAGGACACACAGCCCCTGACGGTGACATGTGGGCAGACAGAGCCCAGCCTTGAACTTTAGGATGCCGATAACTTTAGCCTGGACAAGCAGCCAAGGACCCAGCCCCGGCAGGCTCCCTGGGTGCCAAGAGTGAGCACAGTCATTCAGGTGTTCCTCTGGCAGCATACACTGTTGTCATATGTAGCCTGGATGGAGGCCGTGGTTGGAGCCTCGTCTGCAGTTCCTCAGGCCGACTGCCTTTTTCTCCAGGTGTTCCCACCCTAAATGTCAGAGTGAAGCAGCTGTACTGGCCACAGGGGACACTCTTCTTAGTAGAATGCAAAGTACTGCTGATCCCCAAATGTCTACAGGAAAGTAATTGGGGCACGTAGCTCCTACCAGCTGAAAGGAGAGCCCCTGGGCCCAGCCCTGAGCTCTGTGGAGTGTCCCAGGAGCTCTGTAAGAGGCACCCCGAGTCCCTCCTACCCTCCTCTATTTGCTTGACAGTGTGGGGTACCTTTCCCAGATGCTTTTTGGGAGAAACCAGGGGACCTACAGCTAGACTTTCCCAGGTGCCCGATGGAGGAGGGAGCCTTGCTCATATCAGATGGCTGATTTCCTACCCGGGTCCGTCTGAGGTCTCTACTCTTCTTCCAGCTGACCTGAAGCTTCACTGAGCACAGCACTCACTCACGTAAATGCACGTCCTTGCACCCACCCTCAGCGTTGTGGCTCACTATGTCTGGAGGAGGGACCAGGAACCTTTCAAGCAGGGTCCCCAGTTGTGGAGACAGGTTAGCCATGGGTTTGCCACACTCAAACATCTGGTTCCAGACCATGAGCCCTAAACTTCCACCATGCGACCAGCGCACTGGTTTCATTAAAAGGTTCTTGGCATAAAAGTTAGCTCGTGAGATCAAAATAAACCCACAGACTCAATTACCTTTTTCTATGACCAGGTCTGAGAGGGCTCTCACCTCTCTGGCTAACACCTCGAACCACCCAGTAGGGCAGCAAGGATTACTCAGGGCTATCAGGAGAGAGAAGGGCAGAGCACGCCCGGGAGTGGCTTTTTATTGGGGAACAAGAAATTCAGGGGAGAATTCCATCCAATGAAGGTCGAGGGGGGCAGCACTTCAAGGTCAGGGTCAGTGATTGGCCCCTGGGGTCAGTGGTCAGTCACACCCCGACACAGACAGGCTCTCGCACCAGGAGAGCTCCGACACAGTTTAGCCAGAGCGCCTCCCACCCAATCCGGGAGATGCCCAATCACGAGTGAGAATGGCTTCCCACACTAAACCTCCTCAGGAATTCAAGGAGGGAACTGTCCAGTCAAGGGAAACAACCAGAACAAGCTGGTGCCCCTGGTGATGGCCAGGCAGCTGCTCAGCTACAGCCAAGTTTGCCCCTCACCTCCTGCTACACGCACACCTCCGTTTTCCCCAGTCATCTCTTGAGAACACTCATTCTGGCTTCTCTGTTTTACGTTCCAGACCACTCATTTCCTGTTTTGCATTATTCTATTACATCTGGCCTGGTTCTCTGTCTTTGGCTTTTTACATCTCACTGCCAGGTAGGAGCTGGGAAATAACGCGCATTGCCAACGCACCCAGGCAGTAGGGCTTCTCCCGCTTCCGGTGTCTCTCGCGGTCATATTGGTATCCTGGATAACAGGTGCACAGCACGCGGCCAAAGTTGTCTGTACACTGCTGTTCACAGGGAGCCTGGGCACAGACATCATAATCTGAAAGAAAAAAAAGCATGCACTCACATCAGCCGCAGGGGGAGGCAGGGCAGCCTGGCCTGGAGCTCGCCTTCTGGGCTGCATTCTGCAGGTGTGACCTGTGAGCAGCCCCACCTACAGGGGCGTTAGCTCTGGAGACTGTGGTGCAGCTTCTGGGAGCACTGTGGTGGCAGAAGGCAAACATCACTCAGGCTTTTCTCTGAAGTTGCCTCGTTGTGCCCTTGGGTCTTGGTCACTGCCCAGAAGCAAAGATGCTTTAGTCAGCCAGGCTCTGGGGCAGTTCCTGGGGGGCCTCTTTGATCTGCAACTGCTAGAGGAACAAGGAAATCCTTCCAGCAGGGCACTTGGGCTGGAAGGATTTCCTTGGTGCCCAAATATAAGAGGAAGGGCTGGCTGGCAGAAAAATGAGGGCAGCTTTAGGAATAGATATGTGAGAGTCTTCAGAGAGCCTATGCTTGCACAAGTGAGTGTGGTAGGTGTGCACACGATGGTGTGTGTGTGTGTATAGAGATTCTGCATGTGAGAAGGGGTTGGGTGAGACTGAATGGCTGCAGATCTCTTGCTGGCTCTATGCCTGTGCATATGAGGGCGAGTGCCCATTAATGTGTCAGGAATTGGGGCATCTGCTACTTTCCATTCTTATGTACTGATATTTAATGAGCTTCTGAAGGGCCTCTGGCTCCAAATAGCTCAGATTTGACATTCTCAGATCATTTCCAGCATCTCCTCACTGTCATCTCCAAGGTACTAGTCCCAGATGGACCCTCCAGAGACACAGGTGAACCTGGGTCTGCTCTCCTGTATGTGAAGGGGAAGAGGTGAGCTGTCTCTGACAGGTCTCTGTGACAAAGATCATGGCATTCTGGGGACGACCTGGTGAGCGGCCCTTGTTTGACGATACTTCCCACAAGTGGGACTCCAGGTCTGCTTTGCCAGCCTGGGTTCTGACCGAGCCTACAAACTATCTGGCTAACCTTTCCTCAACTAAGCATCACCTCCAGGCAACCAAAGTTCTGTTTCTTTTGCTCAAAAGTCAAGTCTCAGTGTGACGGGTAATGAGCTGCCCTGTCCTGCCAGCTGTCACCATTACTGGGATCCGCCATGGAGGAGGCAGAAGGGCTGTCTAAGGCACTGGTTGGCTGTGGTGCCCAATGAGGTCTTGCTTTCAGAAGCAGCCGTTCCCACTCTGCTCCGCTTCTTAGGTGCCACTTAAACTCTTCCAGCTGTTTTCATGTTCACCCCAGGACCTCTAAGTATCCAATTTGCTTTGCTTCCTTTATTTTAAATATTGCTTTTACTTTAAAGGTTCCTTATTAACTTCCAGTCACGAGATACATTTAGCATTTTTATGGCATTTCCCCACCCCAGCACTTGGCACTTCTGGTTCCTTCCGTCTAGTCAATGGGTTTTGTTGAAATTTTAGTTTGGTCAATCTCCAGGATTTTCCCTGGAGTGACAATATAAAAGCTCTTCTGGGCAGAGCCAGGAGTTACACTCCACTGAACTGCCCTTCCCTGAAGAACTGTCTGACGTCCTTAAGGGAAGTGCCTTGTGTGTTTTTGGGGGTCCCAGTCATTGAGCTTATTTAGTTTCAAGTCTGCTCCACCTTCTTCCAATACCTACTTGGTGACGTGAGGCTCTGGAGACAATTCTCCAGCCTGTTGGGTGCTTTCAATAAGGGGTGCTGCAGGGAGGTGTAGGTACAGAGAGACCCACACAAACACATGGAGGCTGGAAGAGGGGCTCTGCACCTTTCTGCCTGTGCTTGCTGTTCCTGAGCCTTTTCTCAGTCCCACCCAACTCCATCTAGACCCTTTGGAGAGTAGCAGTAAATGCCAGTTTGCAGTTTAACACTTGCAGAAGCAGCCTCACCACAACCATCTTAGGGGCCCCCGCACCAGTGATCTGGTGCTCCTTCCCCAAGTGGGGTTCCCAGATCCATGAGTCACAAACTGAGTTCAGAGAAACAGCACCGGCTGCCCAGTGCCACCTCCTCCGAGCTTCTATGTCTTAATGGGTCTCCTGCCTCTCTCCGATCCCCTAGCTTAGAAGGTGGGAGCTACTGTACATGGTTGTTACTTCTGGGAGAGTTTCCCATTTGACTTTTCAGTTCTCGATGTCTAGTCATTGGTTCTTTCTATCAAATATTCTGATAAATAATGGAGCATGTGGATGACGGTTATGATTCATTTCTAGGGACTTCCAGAAATTTTTAAATCTCTTAAGATGTTTAAGTATTTTCCCATTTCTGATTGGGGAAGTTTCTTCTCCAGCAGAAATCTCTGTGGCTACTTCTTGGTGTGTCCATTCCCTATCATCTTGGGGATTCCATCCACTCTTTTGACCCTATGCTTCCCTCTCCTCCCTCGTCTTCCTCTTTTCTGGCTTATGCTCTAGTTTTATTGGGGCATATACTCCTGTAGCTTCCTGAGGAAAGTCATAAGAGAGGTAAAATTTTTATGCTTATGCATGTCTAAAAATATATTTTAGTGATTGATAGTTTGGGCATAAAACTGTACGAGAAGTTCACTTCCACAGTATGCAGACATCGCTTCATTGTTTTCTAATTTTCAGGCTCACTGCAGCTGAGTCCTATGAGATTCTACTAGTAAATCTTTCATATGAATTTCACTTCCCCTCTGAAATTTTAATTTTGTTTCCATTGTATTAAAATTTCACAGTGAGGTTTTCATGTGGGGCTTTGTTATTCTTTGATGGGCCCTTTCTATCTAGAAAATTCTGGAGAATTTCCTAGAATTACATCTTCAATGACAACTCCTTTTCTCTGTGTAACTTCATTATCCTGAGGTTTTGTTCTCTGGACTGTTCCTCATCTTTTCTACTTTTTATTTCTTTGATCTTCTGCTCTGGGTCTTGGGTAATTTCCTTAGTTTCACCTTTCAACCCTTTTGCTATTTTCTATTTGTCATGTTTTTGATTTCTAAGAATTCTTCATCCTGTTCCTTTTTATTGACACCCTGTTTTTGTTTGATGCATTCTGTATTGTTTCTGAAGTCTAAGTGAATTAATTCCAAGCTTCCCTCTGTCTGGGTAGCTCATGCTTTCTCTAAGACTTTCCCTTACGTTTCTTTTTGAACGCTTTCCTCTAACATCTGGTGCTCCTTGGGTGCTGTTCTAGTTTACTTGTGGAGTATTAAAAATAGCTCACCAGCAGCTCTTTGCACATGGATTTTTATGAATCCCAAGCTTCAGCTTAAGTGACTCGACCGGTGCCTTCCAGCATCAGTTTCTAGAGCTTTCCTTGTGTCTGCTCTATGTCCAGAGGCAGCATGTACAAATCCCTCTCCAAGAGTAAGTCAGTTTTGAACTATGAAGGGAGATTTGAACTATGAAGGGAGAGCACTGGGTGTTTAAATCTTCAACCTGTAGCATTTTCTTAATGCCTCCACGTTTGATGTTGAGTTCTTACTTGCATCTGAGTGGTCCTCCCCAGCCAGCCTCAAGAACCTCTGCTTTACCCTCTTAGAAGAGGGTATCTTTGGTTTCCTGCCTGGGTATAAAAGGGGCAATAACTGGTTGCATGGAGTAGAGGCACATCGTAGTCTGACTTTTCAGACTTCTAAATCTAACCTGTTTTGACACCACTTCAACCCTTGTTTTCAGTTTTGATTGTCATTAGTTTCGGTATAAACTGTCGGCTCCTTAGTTTTCCCTGGTGCTGGCTGAGGGCTAAGGCTTTTCATTTTGCTGAATTATTTACTATCTTGTCTGTCCTCCAGCTTCTAAAATGTTGTTGCTGTTATCTCTCCTTCCCTTCTCCTTAAATCTTGTGGGTGTGTGTCTTTTGCCCCCCCCCCAATTTTGTGGAGTTTCTGCGGGGGAGGCAAGGCTAAGAAATTTATTCTGTCCTTTGTTTTTGAAAACTTGTTTTTTTAGAGCCTATCAACTTAGTCATGTGGCTTTTATCTTTAAAATTTACACATTTTCTATACTCTGTTGTATTTCTCTTGGCTCCAATCTCAGATCTTCATAGTCTATGTAAACAGGGATCATACTACCAAGAACCTTCTCCTTTAAATTCATTCTGCACAACCGCCGCTAGGCTACCTGACCAACACACAGTGCTCAGACAGCCTTCTAGTTCTAAATAGGTGGGGCGTCTCTGACAATCTCAACACTGGAAATCTGAGAAATTTCGAGCACCATGTCTTAGATTTTGAAGTATTTCAGATTTCTGGATCAGGAATGATCAACCAGTGAAATCTACACAAATATTCCAAATTTGAAGAAACTGAAGCCTAACACTCTTCTGGTCGGTCCTAAGCACTTCAGATAATGATCCTCAAGTCTGTACTAATGAAGCATGGGTCGGTCACACTCACATTTGAGGTTGGGCACTAAATTCCTTGAGATTTCTCCAACATTAAGACTTACCTTTGAGCGTCTCGTCTCTTCACCTTTGTCCTTGGTCCCAGTCACACCTTCTTTCTTACATACTTCTTTCACTTCACCTTAGTAATTAATGTCCAACCCGACACCCTCACTCTCAGTGCCTTGTAACTGGTTTTCCATCCAGGTTTTCAAGCTTCACTGCAAAAGCCTTCCCTGATCTCCTCCATCGAGTCTATTTTGTCTCCTCTCAATGCCATGGATCTCTGACCATCTTCCACTCACGAGCTCTGACAATGATCAGGTACCCGCCCTCCCAACTTGGCCACTCTGTGATCTCAGTTTCTTTAAGGCTCAATTTCCTCACCTGTAAAATACTGATCATACCAACACCCACTTCACTCCTGTGGACATGAAAGCAGATGGCACGTTAGGCACAGTGCCTGACACACAGGGAAAGCTCTACCTGCTTTTCTGCTGCTGGTTCCCATCACTGATTGCCTTCAGGGGAGGGACTATGCCCCCTGGAGTAACAGCCGGGATTTCTTCCCCATGTTGTATGCTCAGTTTGTAACTGCTGAGCCAAACAAATCGGATCATCCTATCACACGGCCAAGATAACAATGGCGGGTGTAGGGGCACCAGATCCTGTCTTTGCAGACCTCCCTTGCAACTATTCAGCTCCACTGCTGTCATGCAAAAGCAGCCATAAGTACTACTTTGGTGAATAGGTATATGGCCCCATTTCAATGAAGCTTTATTTCTAGAGGCAGGGAATGGACCAGATTTGCTCCACAGGCCACACAGGTCACTGACCACGACTCAGCAACAAATGAGCCAGCAACATTTTAAAACTAACTTCCACTCATCAGTTAACACATCTGTTTAGACACACTAGTTTCTTTTTGCTACCTGGGATGGTTAATTTCATTTTTTAACTTGGCCAGGCCATGCTACCTATACATCTGGTCCAAAGTCCACCAAGAGAGTGGGCATGCTGTGAATTAGTACCTGATATATAGTGTGGTTTCTCCCTTAACCAGTATTCATTCATAGGATCAGGAATCAAGGTGTGGAAACGAGAGTGGCATCTCTCATGATTACCCAGTTTCATCTCCATGATCTATTAGAGAAGATCTTTTCATTTTGGGGATAGAGCAGGTCTCAAATGATCTCCCCACTTTAGCCTCCCAAGTAGCAGGGACTAGATGTTCACAACAACACATCCAGTTCTACAAGCAAAATTTCTGATTCCTATTCCTGTGACTTCATGCTCTTAGTCTCAAATGGAGGATGCTTGCAGGAGGAGAAAAAAATGCTTCCGTAGGTTTGCCTTCTGGACACTGGGGTCCTCATGCCTCATAGGCCTGCAAGGAAGGGAGTCGCTGTGTTGGCCCAGTGACAGTCTATAACAAGGGGAAGCTGGACGGTTACTCCTCAGCAGAGGAGTGTCTGGATATAAAAAATATCCTAAGGTGTCTCTGGGTTACTCTGTCCTGCAATTACAGCTGACGGAAAACAACCACCCAGTTCAGGCTAGATGAACATCTCAGGAAGAAAGGTGTGGAATTCCTCACCAGGTTTAAAAAACAACAACAAAAAAAGAAACATGACCAAGTGAGGAGCTTATTGGAGGCAAAGGGAAAAAAAAAATTAGTGGAAGAAAGAAGTTATGAATAGCAGCTATGACCATGTGACCAGTTACAGAAACAAGGGCCATGACTGTCATGAGCATTTATATTCTAGAATATGTATGTGTGCAAATATCTTTCTTACAAGTTAATACATTTTATTGATACACAATATCACAGCATTGAAATATGGTGAACTTTAACATGACAGCATTTAAGTTATAGCATGTGGAGGAGAAAAATATTACTTTACATCCTTTTCTGGGGAAGGTGTCAGTGCATTTTACATGGGGGTAGCACATTGCATCAGGTGGAGGTATGGCCTTATGATCGTTTTCATTCGGAGATTAAGTTCAGGAGGTTAAATGTGTATGGGTGCCAAGTTGAAAAGGGGTAGACTATGATGGGTAATTTTGTGTCAACTCGACTAGGACAAAGTTCTCAGATATTTGATCCTCACATTTCTGTGTAGGTATTTAGATGAGATTAACAGACTGAGTAAAGCAGATTACCCTCCCGTATGTGGGTGGGCCTCATCTGGTCAGTTGAAGGATTAGTAGCAAAACACA